GCCATGGTCAATCATAAGCACGTGGTCCTCTCGAAATAAGTTTATAAATAAACTTCACTTAATGGAGAGATGATTTCTTCAACCTGTTTTTAGGCATAATAACTTTAATAATTAATTTCTAATAACTCATTTATTTTATCTCTGCCATGATGACAGCACATAATCTTTTACTATTTACTTTGCAAGATATTATTATTCAGCTTAAACCAGGCTTAGCTACCGCAGCCAGGGAGTTAGAGATCTACCTAAGCTCAAGCTCCCCTCTCAATCTACAATCGGGAGGGAGCCCTGGGCTCGAGGATCCCTTGAGCTCAGGGCTCTCTCCCGGGACAGCATGCCAAACAAGCTTGTATTAAATCATCAGCTAACTGTGAACTCTTGAAATAGGCAGGATCATTTTTGCTTATTATATTACGTAAACCTCAATGTTAAACTTCATTTCATAATGAATCCTTTTGCCCTAAATAGCGTTGAAGAGATCAAAAAATGGAAAAATGCACTCTTCCTGAAGTACTTACATAGTTTTAAGCATTTCCTTTTTTTCTGTTGAACACAAAAGAAGATGTTTTGAAAAATGTTAGAAGCCTGTAACCATTGACCTCCATTGTAGGAAAAATATGTACAGTAGAAGTCAATGATTACAGGTTTCCATCATTTTTCTAAATAACATCTTTTTTTGTGTTCAACTAAAGAGAAAGTTGTTTTTGGGTGAACTATACCTTAAAATATGAACGTCAAAAATGTACTCATTTATTACTCAAGTGGTTTGCATGCATTGATAAGTTTCTCATTTGAACACAGAAAGAGATATTTTGCAGGATGATGAAAACTTGAAACCATTGGATTCCAAAGTGGAAACAAATACTATGGAAGTCCATGGTTACAGGTTTCCAGCTTTCTTTGAAATATCTTCTTTCATGTTTAACAGGGAAAACTCAAAGGTTTGGAACAGCTTGACGGTGAGCAAACAGTCAGCGAATTTTAATCTCTGGTTGAATCTCACTCACAAATTCTGAATCAGACAGCAGATTCCCCTAAAATGTCACATTCTGTTAAGGTGTGAACTGAAAGCAGGATGTGGTTTTTCAGAGGAATATGACCTTCAGTTCCTCTTCGGATGGGGAAGTTCAATGTTATCAATGGATTTATTTATTAATCCACGAATGAAGATTTCGTTTCAGAAAGCCAATCGTCTGAAAGACTATATTGTCATGATCACCAGCGAGATGTCGCTGGTAAACACTCACGAAAACACAGGAAAACAAGACAGGTTAAACGCGTTGTAATGTCATCTATACAGTAAACAGGCGTGAGTGTCTGGGAGAAGTGCATGTATGCATATGTAGTCCAGAAGAAGGCGGATTTGTAGTCCTGTGTGTGTGTGAGTGTTTACCAGTGACATCTGGTGGTTAGATCTCACTGGTGATCATGACATATATAACGGGCCAATGAAATGCCAGCCATGGTCAATCATAAGCACGTGGTCCTCTCGAAATTAGTTTATAAATAAACTTCACTTAATGGATGGATGAATCCTTCAACCTGTTTTTAGGCATAATAACTTTAATAACTAATTTCTAATAACTGATTTATTTTATCTCTGGCATGATGTCAGCACATAATCTTTTACTATTTACTTTGCAACATATTATTATTCAGCTTAAACCAGGGGTACCCAAAGTTTTGCTATAAAGTGCCAAAAACCAAACTTGATTCAGGGCTATAGGGCACTTTAAATTTCATTTATTCATCCCGGAGGAAACCCACACCAACACTGTGGCATAGTGGGTGGCACAATCGCCTCACAGCAAGATGGTTGGTGATTCAAGCCTCAGCTGGGTCAGTTGGCATTTCTGTGTGGATGTCTGCATGTTTGTCGGTGTGGGTTTCCTCCGGGTGCTTCGGTTTCCCCCACAGCCCAAACACATGCGCTATAGGTAAACTGAATAAACCAAATTGTCTGTAGTGTTTGTGTGTGAATATGGATGTTTCCCAGAGATGGGTTGCAGCCGGAAGGGCATCCGCTGTGTAAAACATATGCTGGATAAGTTGGCGGTTCATTCCGCCGTGGCGACCCCTGATTAATAAAGGGACTAATCTGAAAAAAAAATGAATAAATGATATTATAGACAAGAGTAAAAACCAATTCAAAAACAAAACAAACAAAGAAATGGTGACAAAAATTAACCCACAAGAAGATGAAAAAAAAATGAAGAAATGTTAACCAACAGTTACTTGCGAAATATGTTAGAAAAGTTCATTCAAACACATTCATAAAAATCAAACAAACCAAGAAATGAACTACAAAAACACCCACATACAGAGTCCCTTAAAAATAAATGAAGAAACAGCCACCGACAGTTACTTGCAAAACATGTTAGAGAAGTCGGCAGCTGCATTGCAAAAGAAACTACAGATAACGTTCAGAAAGTCACTCATTGAAACCCTAGTTTGCACCTAATACCCACATGACCCGAGGTGTCAGGATTTTGCTAGTTAGCATCAAGTAAGCCCATTATGACACAACCCATCACTAAAGTGTTTGGCAGAAACGAGGATTGTTTTTCTGGAATCCAGCTGAAGCCTTTTTGGATAAAAGCATCTGCCTATTCAGAACATTGGAGCTTAAAATAAAAACTGGTGATCCTTTATAGCATAACAAAAGGTTTTAGCCTTAAAAGAACGAAATATTTTTGATTGCAACTCTATCACAAAATTAAAACAACTGTGTTCATTTCCTATCTGTTATACCTGGATGCTACTTACATGCATCATAGCACCATGTGACATTTATCATGACCCTTTTAGCAACCTCATTCATTTTCCTTCGGCTTAGTCCCTTAGATATCAGGGGTTGTTTTACTCAGCTGATGCCCTTCCAGCCGCAACCCAGTACTGGGAAACACCCATACACACTCACATTCAAACACGCACTCATTCACTATGACCTATTTAGTTAATCCAATTCACCTCTAGCACATGTGTTTGGACTGTGGGGGAAACCGGAGCACTCAGAGGAAACCCACGCTGGCATGGGGAGAACATGCAAACTCCAAACAGAAATGCCAACTGGCCCAGCCAGGACTTGAACTAGCGACCTCCTTGCTGTGTGATGACAACGCTAACCACTGAGCTCCCATGCCACCCTTTTAGCACAAAAAGACCCCATACAATGCACAGAAAGCCGTAAATAGCGTTCATATCTGCAGGGATGACCCACAATTCAGTGCTCTTATCCAATCTGTTGCTAATGAAAAACGAGAGAGCGTATAATCCATTTTGATATAATCGGTCCCTGGCTGTCTGTTATAAGCATTGTAATCCGGCCGTTCATCAGGGGTTTGGGAGTGGAACGATTAGACACAGGTCACCCGGGAGCAACTGAGATTAGCAAATCCCGCAACCCGCCTGGTTTCTTAGCTTTGCGACTGGTGGAAACTGTGACAAGAATCTATTTATTTTTGTCTCTTTTACCTTTTATGAAATATATGTAGGGCTGGGCGATATTGCAAAAATAAATATCACAATATCATGGTTCATATCATTCAATATCAACAATTATTGAATATTTTTTAACAATCCATTTAGGAATATTAGGATTTTATTTTATTTAAATTCTTTATTTTAATTTACCAACATTATTGAAGGCAAATAGTTTTAATAGTCAAAAATATATATATATATATATATTTAAACAAAAAATCTGATCTGAGTGACATCGAAGTGTTAAAGGGACTCTTAAACTTGATAGATTAAATGTGACAAAGTGTGAGCAACAAAGGTAGATCTACATCTGTAAAGTGTCAATAATAACAACGATACAGTAAACCTCAAACTCTGTGAACAAAACAAATTCTGTTAATCAAATCTGAGCTTTCAGGTTAAGGAACGAGCCATCAATATTCAAATACATACTGAACATTAAACATTGCTGGATGACCTTATGCTAAAGACTCTTTCAGATGGGGAGCTAGTGGCTGGGATGCAGTAGAAAAGAAACCAAAAAGCCACTCTGGCAACATCCTTACATCCTTTTTTATTTACGATCTCCTCACTGCAGCTATACAATGGGCTGTGTGCTCGCGCTCCCCTGGCATCTCTCATAACTAGGGCCAGACGGAATCTGCAGACGTTTTTTGCTATTTCTGCGGAGAATTTTGGTAAAAATCTGCAGATTCCTGCTGAATTATTTTGGGAGTATCCAGCGGAGTATCATAACTAAAACCTTAATATATTAAATAAAAAGTAATAAATTAATGAATAAAAACTGAATAAGTTCAGATTTACACATTTACTCAAGTAAATAAACAGAATTAATGATGGGCTAAAAATCTGCGTAGTTCTGCGGAAAATCTGCAGGAATTCTGCGTGCGCAGATTCCGTGTGGGCCTACTCATAACTAAGCGACCATCAAGTGTTTTCTCAGAGGATGACAAGTTTATAGAGAAAAGTAAAAAGCACAGCAGTGTTTGGATGTTGTATGTGAATGTCGCATCTGTGTCTGTTCTAATCGCAGATTTTGGAATTGTACCCTTGTAAAATTACGAGTATGCTTTGTTTTCCTTTACATTTTTATAATTACACATGCGTGAGTTTTATTCATGCACAAAATATTTATGACAGCGATTTTATTCCATAGTTTCATCAGCGGGAGGCGCCGTAGCTAAAGGCGGATTCACTCTGCTTTGACTGAACTCTTAGAAATTCTAGTCCTAAAGGCCTGATCCTTTCTGATCCTAAAGGCCATTTAGTGATTCATAGACCAGTAATAATACTTTAAAATCTATTCTGAATGTAACCGGGAGCCAGTGTAAAGACCTGAGGACAGGTGTGATGTGCTGATCTTGGTTCTGGTCAGAATCCTGGCAGCAGCGTTCTGGATGAGCTGCAACTGTCTGACTGTGTTTTGAGAGGTTTTTGCATCTGAACTCTTCAAACTTTTCTAAGCTTTTAAATGATTTTGATTTTATTTTGATGTTTTTTTTTGTGGTAAATAACAGAGGGATGGGATACCCAGAAGCCCAAGCCATGGATGAGTTTCCAGCCCAGCAGAAAGGGGACAGACTGCCCTTTCAGGTAACAAACCCATCTGTCATTCTTTAATCTGTACCGTGAGTCTGTAATGCCGGATTCAGACTACACAACATTTCTTTGCATACAACACTGCGTTGAAATATAATTATGACAAGAAACATGTCACACTATTGTGACACGGTGGCTCAGTGGGTAGCACTTTCCCCTTACAGAAAGAAGGTCGCTGGTTCGAGTCCCGGCTGGGCCAGTTTTTGTGTGGAGTTTGCATGTTCTCCCCGTGTTGGTTTCCTCCGAGTGCTCCGGTCTCCCCCACAGTCCAAAGACATGCTCTATTGGTGAACTGAATAAACTAAATTGGCCATAGTGTATGAGTGTGTGAATAAGTTTGTATAAAACATATGCTGGAATAGTTGGTGGTTCATTCCACTGTGGCGACCTCTGAAATAGAGACTAAGCCGAAGGAAAATGAATGAATGAACTAACGGCCAATAAACTGAACATATAATATGCAGAGATCATCACATATACAGGATTATTTATAATATAAAAAATCACACCATTTTAAGAATTGCACATTTTCAGGACTACAATATCGAAATGTCTTGTAAACGAAAAACAAAATTCAGCTAAAGCACATAAACTTAATAATGCCACAAAACTAGATGCTCAGTTCATTGATTTTCATGTTATTTAAAAGGGCGGTTCACCCAAAACTGAATATTCCATCATTGTTAACTCATCCTTTATTTGTTTCCAAACCTATTATGCTGCGTTCACACCAGACGCGTCACGCGCGTCAAGCATGTTAAGTCAATGCAAACGCGCGAATAGACATCCTGCGGCGCGATACGCGCGAATGGCGCAGGGCGAATTGAGCCATTTTGAAAATCTCTCAATTTTGAAAATCTGAACTTCAGCGTACATTCGCGCCGCGTTAACCAATCAGAAGCTTGCTCTTGTGGGGGCGTGATTGTGACGTAGAACCTGTTGTCGGTGTTCCGAGGGAAATCCTCCAGCCTTCAACGACAACAGTTCATCAAACTGGGCTTGGCTCAGTCAGAAGCACCGCTGAAAGCCTCCGTCATCCAGGTTAAGTTTCTGGAGGAGTTTATGAGCTCACAGAGCTGGATGCACCTCTGAAAAAATGTAGTGGACTCAGACACGACCCTAAACGTATCGACACTGTTTTTCAGTCTTCATAAAGCACATAAACACTGTTATTTTCTTCATAAAATCCATGTTAGCCATTTAGCTATGAAGCTAGAGTCTTCGGGCAGACAGAAGCCCTGCCCATCACGTGAATCCGCGTCTGTTCTGATGTGAATTTGAGCGCAATTTATCCGCGCATTCCGCGTCTGGTGTGAACACAGCATTAGTGTTTCTTTCTTCTGTTTAACACAGAAGAAGATATAATAATAATAATAAAAATAATACATTTTATTTGTAATGCGCTTTTCTTAAACTCAAAGCGCTACAGGCAAAATACTAGCAACACAAGGCAAGCAAAACAGCACAACAATAAAAGATGCATTCATTCATTCATTCATTTTCTTGTCAGCGTAGTCCCTTTATTATTCTGGGGTCGCCACAGCGGAATGAACTGCCAACTTATCCAGCAACTTATGCGCCACTGCTTCGCCATAAACGATGCAATAAAACAATAAAAATATGATCTATATAATAGAATCAAAAGTTAACGAAATGATCATCCTAAGTTAAAAGCAATGCTAAAAAGGTGAGTCTTAAGAGAATTCTTAAAACGGTCCAGAGAGGCGGCATTCCTAATGCGGCTGATGGGTAGTGCATTCCAAAGCTTACGCGCACTGTGTCAGAAAGCACTCCCACCCCTCTTGAGTTTACACTGTGGCTGATGCAAGGTAAGTCCCGATGCAAGACGAAGACTGCAGTCTGGGGTGGCGAATGTCACCAGGTCACAGATGTAACTGGGTGCTAACCCATGCACTGCTTTGAAAGTTAAAATCAAGGTCTTAAAATCAATCCGTGAGCAGCTAGCTCTCTGCAACTCTCACATGGTCGCCCACTGAAGCTAAGCAGGGCTGCGCCCGGTCAGTACCTGGATGGGAGACCACATGGGAAAGCTAGGTTGCTGCCGGAAGTGGTGTTAGTGAGGCCAGCAGGGGGCGCCCAACCTGCGGTCTGTGTGGGTCCTAATGCCCCAGTATAGTGACAGGGACGCTATACTGCTCAGTGAGTGCCGTCTTTCGGATGAGACGTTAAACCAAGGTCCCGACTCTCTGTAGTCGTTAAAAATCCCAGGATGTCCTTCGAAAAGAGTAGGGGTTTAACCCCGGCATCCTGGCCAAATCTGCCCACTGGCCTTCATCCATCATGGCCACCTAAACATCCCCACATTCAAATGGCTGCATCACTGTCTCCTCTCCACCAATCAGCTGGTGTGTGGTGTGCGGTCTGGTGCAAAATGGCTGCCGTCGCGTCATCCAGGTGGATGCTGCACACTGGTGGTGGATGAGGAGATCCCCCCCACTATGTAAAGCAATTTGAGTGCCCAGAAAAGCGCTATATAAATGTAAGGAATTATTATTATTATCTAACAGGAAGGCAGTGTAATTGTTGTAGCACAGGAGTAATATGGTGGCATGATGATGTGTGTGTTAGAACCCGTGAAGCGCAATTTTTTGTATATATTGTGGTCTTCTGAGAGAACTTGTAGGTAAACCCTCAAAAAGTGAATTACAATAATCCAGACGTGATGTGATGAAGGCATGGAGAAGCCTCTCTGCATCAGGTCGTGAGAGAAATGGTCTGATCCGTGCAATATTGCGGAGATGAAAGAAGGCAGTTTTTGTAAAGCGTTTGAAGTGGGAGTTAAAACTGAGCTGTGCATCAAAGAGCACCCCAAGATTACGCACCTGGGTAGAAGGAGACAGCTGAACATTATCATCCGAGTGTAAAATCCTTGTACTGGCTAACCTTAGTAGGGGTGTCAATTAATAAGACCTCAGTTTTGGAACTGTTTAATTTAGGGAAGTTTTGACTCATCTAAGATTTAATTTTTTAAAAGACAGATAAAACTGACGTAGCAGTGTTAAGATATTTTAGAAAAAGTTTGAAACCTGTAACTACTGACTTTCCTAGTATTATTGAAGTCGACGGTTACAGCCTTCATATAAATATCTACTTTTGTGTTTGACAGAAGAAGCTTGTGAAGGTTTGCAAACATTTCAGGGAGAGTAAATAATGAGTACATTTTCATTTGTGGGTTAACTTCCCCTTTAAATGCTTTTAAAATTTGGTTTGGGGACACTAATTGTACACAACAGATGAAAAAGATTCATTGCAGAATACAGAAATAGCATGAATAATGTGGTCCCGCTATATCGCAATGCTTTGTTTCAATATTGGTTAATTTGATATATGCGGTTTCCCTTAGGTGTCACATGCTAGAATTTCACAAGCCTGTTGGGTTTTCATCAGTCACTATGACCTCAATATGACAACCACAAACTTTAGCGTAAACTACACTGTAAAAATGATATGACAACAAATGTTTTTCTTACTAATTATTCAGGTTTTAACTAAATACTTTTAGTTAAATAAAGTGTAACCACATATTATTAGTCAGTTGTGATGCTGCTGTTGAATATTGTGATAGCGATAAGGCTTGACATTAACTTTTTTGATCACCAGCCACTGCCGCTAGTAGTTTTCCAACATTGCTAGCCACTCAGCATTTTTACTTGCCACAATTTTGTTGTTTGGAAAATATACTTCATATTGTCTAATATGACTTTGACATGCTAAATTTCTTAATTTAGATTTCGTGTTATGTCCACATGTCGCCTCATTCATTTCACTTTTTGTGTCATGTTTGACACGTGAGCATGAGCAAATTGGTCATGGTTTTTATAGTGTCGCATTGCAATTAGTTTTTATTTCACATGACTTTTCAGAGCTCATAATTAAGGATTTGCCAAATTTATCTCTGAGCAAACATAAATATGTATTATTTAAGATTCAGAGTTCCACATGAGTTGGTTATTAATTAGCAAATAATATAAATATCACAAGAGTAAACATTAGGTGAGCAGGTTACATTGTAACCCTGTGTCCTAGCAATACAACTACGTGACGAGATTTGCAGTGATGAGCAGTTTGGCTGTTTACACAAGACGAAACATGACAGACATTTAAATAAAGTCATTCAGAAGCACAGAATAGCGCACTCACTGCACTCCAGCGAAATGGTAAGGTTATTTAATTAATACATATTAAAAGTCTTTAACATTATTAAACGCAGATGCTGAATCACTGATGTGTGTTGGCTTGCAGTTCTGAAGTGTGTTGCAAGGCTCAGTTCTGAAGTTCAATTTCAAACGGTTTATTTTATTTTCAAGATCTGAGGTGAACTATCTGCTGCTGCTTTCAGTAGTATGGCAATAAATGTCATGTAAAATGGCATTCACACTCATATTATTAGTATTTAACACTGATAAAAGCACATGAGATGTACCTGAGGTAAACAGTGGTAAACAGTGTGCTTTGTGTGTGTTTTAAAACAGGCATGCAATACATAGTTCACCCACTGGGTGTCAAACTTACATACTGCACCTTGGAGCTCAAGTCCCACTCACCTGAAGCTGACCAGTCAATTTAAGGCTGGTCCAAACTCTACTCAACTCAAGCTTTACAGCCGTACAAACAAATTTGGATAAGCAAAAAACAAAAAAAAATCAGTGCCGGAGCAAGCTGAACTGCCGCTCTAGGCCGCCCTCAACCCGAAAGTGAAAACAAAAGTGACCGGTTATGGACCCTCTCGCCGCCCTCTCTATTCTGCCTCCCTATACGTGGATATAACTGAGGACGTGGGCGGTAAGGAAGGTGAGGGAGGTGTCGCGGACATAACTGAGGACGCGGGTGGTGAGGGAGGTGTCGCGGACGCCGCCCTCTCTATTCTGCCGCCCTAGGAGGCCGTCTAGGTCGCCTCTATGGACGCGCCGGCCCTGGTGCCGATAGCCTCATGGGCGAGACATAAATCCAACATTCTGAGTTTGCCCCAGTCTTTTCCTTTCAGTGCATCCCAAAAAAACAGAAAGTAATTTTTTGTACCTCTCTGCGATAGGAATATTAATATATCAAATAATTATTATTTTTCGATTTATTGTGCAGCACTATTGCAATAAGATTTCTCTCTCATTCTGTAACCCCTTCGTCTCTCTGCTTGATTTTGCAGATCTTCCCAGACCCGGTGGAAGTGGTTTTGAGCACTGAAGGCACTCTGACCTGTTCTCCGCAGGGGAAGGAGCGCCTGCCGTCCATTGTGGTGGAGCCCACAGATGTGAGCGAGGTGGAGAGCGGAGAGCTGCGCTGGCCGCCAGAAGACATGGACTTTGATGAAGATGAAGATCTATTCTTGGAGCAGTGCATCCCACCAGCAAACATCGCCGACTGGGGGGAAGACGAGGAGGAGAGCTCTGTTATTGAAAACCACCAGCAGTCCGCTTCCCTGTTAGGTATTAAAGCACATTCACCAGCATTCAGAACAATAATTGCACCCATAATTTACTAAACAGGGAATATTAAGTGCAATCAGGGCTGGCGAGTCCATTGAGGTGACATAGGGCGGCAGAATAGTGAGGGCGCCCCCCGGTGCAATGGAAGTTAAAAATAATTGATAATTTAAGATGTTTTCAGGCATCCAAATAATTAAATGAGAGATCACATTTAAAGTTTCAGATGGCATGAATATTTAACTGAAGTTATCTTAGTTATTTTGCATAAGCTAGTGGTTAAACCAGGCGTGCCCAAAACTCCTGGGGCCTGTTTCATAAACCAAGCTTAGAGAAAAAGCCAGGCTTATTTTGAAAAGTCAGGTTTATTAATGGCGAATTCGGCTTCGTAAATCAAATTTACGATAGTAAATCTCAGCTACTCGTGCAACTCATGCTGGGAAACTAGCCTGGCAGGTTAACTCTCAGTCTAAGTCTTTGGTTCAAGCTTAATCCTGCAGTAATTTGATGCTATTTTAATTCACTCAACCTCTTAATAATGATTAAAACTTTATAGCCACTTAGTAAATACACCAAACATCTTTAAAAATAGAATGATATATACATTTAAACTCAAATACGATATTCCAAACTAAACAAATACAAACATTTCAACACAAATTTTATTTATTTTTAATGGTTGTGTTGATTTTTATTTTCCTGTTTATGTAAATTGTATTTAATATTTTCCCCGTATATATTTATATTTAAATATTTTATTTAATAACGTATTAATTTGGGGCGACGCATTGGCACAGTAGGTAGTGCTGTCACCTCACAGCATGAAGGTCGCTGGTTCGATCCTCAGCTCAGTTGGCGTTTCTGTGTGGAGTTTGCATGTTCTCCCTGCGTTCGCGTGGGTTTCCCCTGGGTGCTCCGGTTTCCTCCACAGTCCAAAGACATGCGGTACAGGTGAATTGGGTAGGCTAAATTGTCCGTAGTGTGTGTGAGTGTGTGTGTGAATGTGTGTGTGGATGTTTCCCAGAGATGGGTTGCGGCTGGAAGGGCACCTGCTGCGTAAAAATGCGCTGGATAAGTTGGCGGTTCATTCCGCTGTGGCGACCCGGATTAATAAAGCGACTAAGCCGACAAGAAAATGAATGAATATTAATTTGGGTGTACACATTTTTGGACTGATCTTAAGTTTGGTTTTTGTTTAGTTAGTTAGTTTTGTTTAGATTAGTCCAAATTTTTGCTTTGGTACTGAATAATCTAATGTAAAGGCACAAAGATATTATTGTAAAGCGTCCAGAAGAAAATATTAATTTAAAAGAGAGATCTGTGAGGCGTGTACTTAGCTATATATGTAGTATATGAATTACAAAAAATATATATATATTAAGCACTGAAAGCACTGACTGATATAAAGAAGTAGGCTACATTTCTTGAAGAATGACTTTGTGGACCCTCAGTGGAATAATCAGGAGATGATCCGGGCCGAGCAGTAGCCTACCTTTAATATAAAGATATTTTCCTACGGGCCGCGGGAAACAAGTGTCAAAGGGAAAGGGATATCTAGCCTTATAGGCTGGTTGTTTACACACACAGTGTTGACGATATTCAATAACAACATAAAGAGTGCATTTTGCAGAACAGAACCCAAGCTTCTTACATTTCACACAACAGAAATGTCCCTTTTTTAACCAGCCTCTGAATCTTATTTTTAACCACAGGAACTAACATAAGTTGCAGTAGGATATGATGCAACATCAAACATTTTGTAACTCGTCAAGAACGGCTCAATCACAGTCATGGTAGGCTATTAACAGACTAAAGCAATGCTCAATTCCAGTTTCTTTTACATTAGGGAGGTATTTTTTTTACATGACTTACTAAAGAAGCTTCAGTTCTTGACAAGTTCTGTATAAAGACGGCAAATTCCAGTTCATTAGTGACTAAAATGATGTATTTTGCATGCAAGTACAGTTCGTGCAAAGAAGCTTTTAGTCTTGCTTCATATCCGAACATCACGCGACATGACAGGATTACAGTGAAAAGCAATTTGTGTCCGCACAAGACACGGCATGAAAGAAACATTTAAACATCAGAGCCATTCATATGCACAGACAAATGCACAGCACTACCAACCAAACCGCTTGGTGACTTCCAAAAATTGTATTCATTCCCTGCTTGTGTGAGAAGTGTAAACTAAGGTTGTCTTGGGTAATAATTTGGTTTAGTCAATTGGCTGTGGTGCATGTTTTTTGGAGAAATCCGGTGGAACCCATGCAAACAAGGGGAGAACATGCAAACTCCGCACTGACACACCAACCAGCTTGATAGGAGGTTTGACCAGCGGCTTTTTTGCTGTGAGGCAACAGTGCTAGCCACTGGGCCGCCGTGTCGCCCTATCAAAAAAAGGGTGGGAAGTAGAGGTGGAAGGGGGGTGGGGGGGGGGGGGGGGTGGGGGGGGGGCTTCAAGACGAAAACAACTGGACTGAAAAGCTCTGGTTATTTGTAATGTACCCGTAATCATCTAATAGGTCAGATTACGGAGCTAATGAGGTGCCAGCCGTGTTGATTATAAGCATGTGGTCCTCTTGAAATTAGTTTAGAAATAAACCGCTCTTCCGAAATCATTTTTTTTTGTAGTGAACAGTATAGCAGTTTAAAAAAAAAGTGTGATTTGAAATATTTTTCCTGCACTGTTTTCATACCCCAAAACATCCCTATCATGCAAATAAACAGCCAAAAGATTTTCTGTTTTCATGTGATTAAAGTGTTGTAAACACCACCTTAGTTTTAATTTTGCATCTCTGTCTGTCAATCTGCAGATCTCAAATCGGACGACTTCCGGGACGACACCCCGACTCTACCTCCAGAAAGTGCTTCAGCTCTGAACTGATGCCCTCTCAACTTCTCATCTTCGACCCTGCATTGCCACATGTGACTGTGGTGTCTGACTTTGGTCAAACAATATACCATGAAACTGAAACATTGCATATACTAGAAAAGAGTGCGAAGGAATTGACACACTGTAAACTCAAAAAGTTAAGGCAACTCAAACCGTTTGAGAAAACCGATTGCAACAAACCATTCACATTGAAAAACTAATCCTGATGAGTACTGTGAACTTAATCCATTTGAGTAAACAAAGCAATTTGAGCACAGTAAACCTCAATAAATGAAGAGAACTCAAGCCAACTGAGTACTGTGAAACCTAAGTTAAGGCAACTCAAGCGATTTCAATAAACCATTTAAGTTCAAAAACTAACCTATATGAGTACTGTGACCTTGCTCCATTTAAAGTTGAAGTAATAAACAGTATTTATTTACTCATTACCTTCAACACAGAGTTTAATACTCTTTTCAAATGAGTAGAATGAACTTTCAGTAAATGTTGAGTTAACTACACTCATTTCATTTGATAAAGTTCTGTTTCACAGTGTATAATGTAATTTAGTACACTCAAAAAATAATAATTGTTCAAACTACTTAATTAATATGAGCCAAAACAACACGATTCTTGAGATATTTTTGGGACAACTTAATTGTTTGATGTTTCATCCACTTAAATTTGTCAAAACCAATTAACTTATGTGACTTGTGTTGGGGCGACATGGATGAACACTGAGGAAGCCTGCATTTCTACAAAGTAGCTCAGTTTACTTTACCGCTGATCAGTTTATCACAGTAGACATCTTTTCTTTACTCTTGATTTTCCAACAAGTCAGCATTTTCACACTTCCCTTTATCATGCATATCTGACCTATGCGGATAAATCAATAAAAAAAGGAAGCAAGTTGGCGGAAACATGAAGTGGTGATGCTACACAAACATATGATCTTGAGACAGACGTTTATGTTATGGAGAAGTTGAAATGCATTACTCGAAATGAAAGTTTAATTTGTACTATTTTCGTCCCCTTATTTCACCCATGTCAGTTTCTGTGTTGTGCTTCAGTCATGTCCAGCTGCGTTTTAACCATTAAGTGCACCTCAGAGTAGAAAAACGTATTCAAACAAGCAATGCACTGTGTGTTTTATACCAGACATGTTACATTATGTCCAACATCAATCAGCCGTGTAGCATTTCTCATTGCAGTATGTACATACAATGTTTTTCCTCATATGATTGTGTACAAGTTGAAAACTATTTAATAAACCGCGTCAGTACCACAACTGAAATGATTTTGATTTGATTCTTAAATCACATTTCCATCATGTAAAATGAAGAACAAAATCTGCTGATTCAGACAGCTTGTTCAAAGAGCTAGCATCATTGCTTTCAGTTCCAGCTCTAAAATAACTCATTTATGAGAATGTTTTAAGTTTAAATCAACTAAGGGCATCGACTGCATCAAACATCATGTAAAAGCTGCTTACACAACACGGCTAAGGAAAAGGCTTGGCTCACAGTGCTTTGCAACCATTTCCTGACTATAAGAGACACAAGCTGATCTGAATACCACTAGTGTGGCAGATCTGCACAGCTGTACACCCTGAAAATCTGAGAGGTAAATTCTTGATTTTGTTTAATTTGAATAACTATACATGCATAGTATATATAGATCTAGGACATTTTAATTTATAATATATACAGATGAAGTCAGAATTATTAGCCTCACAGAATTATTAGTCCGCCTGTTAATTTTTTTCTCCAATTTCTGTTTAACTGAAAGATTTTTTCAACACATTTCTAAACATAATAGTTTTTATAATTCATTTATAATAACTGATTTATTTGATCTTAGCCATGATGACAGCACATAAATATAATGTCACTTGATTTTGTTTTATTTGATTTTGATAAAACTGTACTATACACACAGTATATATATAGAGAGAGAAAGGGGATTTTAATTAATTAATTAATTAATTAATTAATTAATTAATAATAATAATAATATTTTTGTAACATGTATAAATATATAAAAAACTATTTTAAGGTCAATATTATTAGCCCCCTCAAGATTGTTTTTTCTTTTTCTGATTGTCTACACAAATCACTGTTATCCAATAGCTTGGCTAATTATCCTAAAATGACATTTTTTAGTTGAATTAAATTAACTTTTCTAGTCATTTGAACTTAAATCAATCAAACTGACTAAAATATTTAAGTTAAACTTTGTATAACCTAAACAATTTAGTAGAAACCTGATTACCTTTATTAAAAAGAGTTAAAAGCAACATAAAAATGTGTACTGTCTTAACGTTTTGGCATACGTTTTTTTTTTTTTTTTTTTTTTACAATGTAGTAAAAATTTGCTTTTAAATGTCACTTTAAACTGAATACTAGTATCTTGCGAAATAAGCAGAAAATTATTTTGTTCTGTCATCATGGCAAAACCAAAATAAAATAGTTGCTCGAAAAAAGTTATTAAAACTAATTTTTTAAAATGTGTTCTCTCCGTTAACACTTGCGAATTATCTTTTTTTAATTAAAATTTCTAATTTGACTTGAGCAGGGGTGCCTCGGTCTTAGAGGGCTGCTGTCGTGCATAGTTTAGCTCCAACATCCTTCAACACACCTGTCTGGAAGTTTCTAGTATACCTCAGCTTGATTAGCTGGTTAACTGGAATTGAAACAAAAATATGCAGGACACCTGCCCTCCAGGACCGAGTTTGGGCACCCCTGGTATATAGTCTTTATTAGTTTTGTACTTATCTATATATATATATATATATATATATATATATATATATATATATATATATATATATATATAT